GTGGGATTGACCGTCACATTATAACGCCCCCACGGCTGAAAGGGCGAGCATGTTTGGTGTGACAGGGATTCGAACCCGCGACCCTCGGATTGCGAGTCGAGTGCCTTAATCACCTGGCCATGCCGGGCCCTTGTAATCAGCACTGTTAAACAATAATAATAAAATTAATATAAATCAAAAATGTTACAGAGACTCAAGAATCAAAATTAATTTTTTCACTACCAGTCCTTGTTGTCATCATTAACATTCATTATGGATAACGTCTGTGGCCATAGCTCCAAAACGTGTTGGAGATATTGCATGTATCAGACAAGATCCAGACGTCGATGTCAAACTAGAAGCAACGGAAAATCAGTTAACACTAAAGAGTTGAATGCTTGAACTCATAACGTCTCAACTACTACTGCCTATCGCTATCTGCAGCCAGTTGTGGGAAGGCAGTTACCCTTAATATTTATATACAGCCTTAAAGTAGAAATAAACCAACCTATGTTTCTACAAGATTCCCAAGAATGGAAAATTTAATTTTAATTTTTGTGTCTTTGTAATGTTTTAGATATATATAATTTGGCTGTTTTGTAACTTATTTTTTAATTTCTGTGTTTTTGCTGCTTATTTGGTTAACTATATTTAAACATTTTAAAAAGCAGCAAAGTTGGTGTTTGCTGAAGTAAGTGAAGTAAAACTATAGTAAGAGGGTAAATAATTTTTTATGAGAGAAAAGCGACAACTATTCATTTTTATGAGAACGGAAAAAACACAAACTTATATATATAAGGATTGTGACCTCTTTCGGTTGAGGCTGTGGAACCCTATTATTGTAATTGTTGCAGAAAAATAACTACTGAAAGATAACATATAAACTGAGAGAAGTCGGAGGATCAGAATTTGTCTGACAGCAGACAAAACGTTGCAAATTCTAACAGTCAAACCATTATAAAAACTATTAGCAATTATACACACACACTGAGATTATAATGAACTAAAGAAGATTCTCCATCATATTCTTATCATAATGCACAAGTGTTAAACTGATAGCTTAATTTGTCATCAGTTTATTATACATATTCATTATTGCAATATAAACCTATTCTTGATTTCTTTCCTACCATTAACCAGACATTTCTGTACTAATTTCAAATAGATGAAACATACTAATAATAGTTAACTAGATAGAATTCATTGATTATGGTAAAATAAAAACACATCACTATTTTGCCATCATTAATATTCATAAAAAGAATAGTTTTAAGGAAAGTTTTTAATATTTTGTTGGTATCCTGTTCAAACCCTGTTTCATTAAGCTTAATGCGCATAAGTGACAGAAACAAACCTAACGTTCAGTCTTCTGAAAGATTAACATAGGCCTGCACCTAATTAAACTAATATTGTTTTCTTTAACACTCTTTGAGTTATATTGGTTAATTAAATAAATTAGTTTACCGTATTTTTCGGAATATAAGACGCACCCTTATTTTGAAAACAAAGTTTTTGGAAAAAAAAGCTACATTTGCATTTGAAAGATTTTTATTGAACAAAAATTATATTTGGTACTTTAGAAATTAGTATATATTGTTCTAAATACAAAAGAGCTCAAAACATCAAAAAAAAAAAATACCGGAAAACAGAAAAAGGTTTTCTGTTATTTATTTTGGTTCAGTACCTACAAAATCTTCATTGCTTT